ATCCCTAAGCCCTTAGCCAAACCTAAAAAAACTCAGAACCCACAGCGTTCCGTCCGCACATCCAGCCCCCATCGTGACTCACTTTCAGGAAAAAAACACCTAAAGAAGTGAACACTCGCCGAACATCCCGAGTTTTACTCACCTACTAGTTCCAGTTCGAGGCTTTCTATGCTTTCAGGGTAGAGTTCTAACTGTTCCAGTTGGAGTTCGCATTCGAGTTCAAGTGGGGACTGGGGATATCTGTAGACAACCTGAAATAACTCTGGCCTGGGGCGCGCGCGGAGTAAGAAACCATGCAACGCGGGCCACAGTACAGGTTTGCATGTCGTATGCTTTGAGACATCCTTGGGGTGCACTAGCTGAAACTTTCGACGACGAAAACATGAACATTAGCTGGCGGCGGCCCCTTTTCTTTTCGCGATGTTCATCCGTCTCTCATCCTATCTCATCCTCTACTCGCAAATAGTCCACGTCAAAAGTCACTACGGCCAAGCCAACAAATCTGGGTTGCACAGTGCAAACCACCGTGATTTCTGGATCTGCAACCTGGTGGCTCCGTAAAAATAGATGAGTGTGCAATCCAGTCTCTTCATCTTAGAGCTGGGCGGATTGACGATCTGCGCCAAGAATGTTTCTGCATACTTCAAAGGCATCCTGGAATTTGTGTCTACTAACGGTCCAATGCCGATTGCGAACACACTGAAAGCTGCCTCCTTAGAAATAGTGTTCCATCCACCGCGGAACGGCTCATACAGAAGCCGCCACGGACGTCCGGCATGAGAAGCCAGAACATCTGGCCAAGAGGCAACTTGTGCTGCTTTACCGTGCTATCACAAGTCCCCAGGCCTTGCGCAAGACCTTGGCAACTGACTTTGCACTGTCACTAAAAGGCTGGGCGCATTTCAAAAGTGTCAAATCAAGACATTGGTCGGTCACATTTGTGAAGAGCCAAGCTTGGACTATGGCGGCTGAAACGTTCAGATCTTGGCTGCGATGACATATCAACAGGAAGAACCTCAGTTTGCTGAGACACAACGCACCACGTTTTTTTGTAGAACTGCTTGCTTTGCAATGGTAGCTCAGCGTATGACTTTTATGAGACACACGTTCGGCGAGCAAGGACAATTGATTAGAACAAACAAGACCCACAGCACGTCATTAGCATAAAGAATGTCTCACAAGTCCTTCTCACGAAAGGCCTCCAGCAAAGAGAAACACAGGTGATTGAAATGTCCAGCGGCCAAAGCACAAACAACTCTGAAACCAAAAACTTGGTTTAATTAGAATAGAAACAATGTTCGCTACTAGGAACAAGTGCATCGCTACTAGGAGCAAGGGCCTTACTAGTAGTAACAAGAAGTTTTAGCTACTACTAGTAAGGCCCTTGCTCCTAGTAGCGACGCACTTGTTCCTAGTAGCGAACATTGTTTAATTCAAACGTGCCTGGAAGGATGGGCCGAAAGCTTTCACGCGCGCAACGTTACAAAAACCAACGAGTCATATAAAGTGACTCTGCAAGCACCCACTTACGCACAACAGGCCACATGAACTTCACAAATACATAGCGTGTTCCACCACAATTTGTGTTTTTGATTGCTAACTCTACTTCCAGCTGGTTGAAGCTTATAGCTTCGGTGGTGTCGGCGAAGCTGATGAGAGCAAATGCATGTGTCCACCATCAGCAGCTTGTATCTTGGCATCTTGCGAGGAATATTTGCCCGGTTCATTGACCCACCTGCATTTGAAGAACAAAAGTTGGATAGTTGCAGCTAGCAGTGCAGAAGGCTTTTTCGAGTAGCAACTATTCAGTTGAACCACTCACTGTTCGAAGGTCCGCATAGTTAGATGCCTGAACAAATGCGCGAGAACAAAAGTGCTGGTTCTGTCGCGAGGGGCATGAAGAGCACCTCAAATTATTCCCAGCGTCACACGGGGCATCTGAAGTGGTTTTGAACCTTCCAACAAAGACAAAAAATATGCAAATGTAAACCGTGTCAACTGCGTGGTCGCCAAAAGGCTTTCCTTGATTGAAATTTGCTGCAAATGTTGCAGCGGATTCTGTGCTCTAGTGGTAGCACACCACGTGCCCAACCATTCGTTTTTGGCAAATGAAAGAAAAAAGGCCGCGGGTCAAGGTGAACCGAATCCAGAACCGTACACGTGCGGAGCCTGGGAGAAAGCAGCCTGGCTCGATCAAGCCAGTCTGCCGACCTGATCCCGTAGAAACAAAGCATTCCAAGAAGAACAAGGCGCCATCGATCTACCGTGATCTACCCTTTTCAAACCGCCCATTGACACGGGCTTCGTCGATGTGTCGAGATTCTCCCAATTATGCGCTTCTTGCATGACCATAGGAACGAGGTAGACGGGACCGTCGCCGGTTCTATTCCTCAGCTGCCCTTCGGGTTGCCTTGCTGCCCGGTCTCCTGTCTAATCTTACACAATTTATAGCCTTTCGTAACTGCTGCCGACTGCAACTGCACCCAACTCCCAGCTACAGACGTCTTTGCGTTTGCCTTTTGCAGGCACCTCAGGCAAGTGGCCCTCCCGCTTTGCATGGAGGTTGTTGGAAGAGGCGCGTTCCAGCGCTGCACCTGGGCGACAAACTTCCGGCAGCAGAGAAGGCCCTCGACCATTCGCATCTTCCCTGTGGGATCTTCCCAAGTCGGTTGCGGATCCTTCGGCCCAAAGCGCGTCGCACCGGAGCTGCGCCTCGAGTTCTCGGTGATCCCACAATATGCTACTAGGAACAAGTGCATCACTTCTAGTAACAAGTGCCTTACTAGTAGTAACAAGAAGCTATTAGGAACAAGTGCATCGCTTCTAGGAACAAGTGCCTTACTAGTAGTAACAAGAAGCTATTAGGAACAAGTGCATCGCTACTAGTAACAAGTGCCTTACTAGTAGTAACAAGCAGCT